AGGACATATATATACATATATATATGTGTATGTGTATGTGTGTGTGTGTGTGTGTATATATATATATATATATATATATGTATGGAATTTTCTGCAATGTCCTTTGCGGTGCTTATACAGAGAATTGGGACTAGCATATACATCTCTATATATTACACCCTACTCTGGTCTATGTTCTACATTATAGGTAGACCACAAGACACTGCAAACCATCATACATATTTCACAGGATGATGCTGGATTAATGCAGGGTTTATTTTTACTTGTTCTGGAGTTGCTGGGCTGTAGTGGAACAGTTCAGCTAAATCTTGGTTGCAAGGGAAAATACACTGGATTTGCAATACTGTATTTCAACTGACCTATCTACCTCATCTGAGAGCTGGTGCAAAGGTAACCCCATGTCCTCAAATGATAGTTTGGCATTTAATCCTCTCCTAACTTTTGCACATTGTAATCCCACTTCCCAATTTTCTGGTCTGAGAAAAACCCACATTTTTCAGGTCACTTTATGGGCAAACCATGGTTTACACTCCACTATTAAATCAGGAATGGAAACCAAGGTTTGACCATTGTTTCTAATCCTGGTTTGCAAGACCAGGGAAAACCACAGTTGGCCATTTTAACAGAAATGACAACCTCTAATTAATCTGAGACAAGAACGGATGAAAGGATTTTGGGCATGTGAGGGAGGGAGACATTTGAACCCTAGAATTTACTCCGTTGCCCTTTAAGAAATGTACCTGGAGATTTTCCACCTGTTTCTTCAATGTTTCAGGTGTAAACACAGCAGGCTTGCACAGATCCATGGAGTACGAAGTGCTTGCAAGCATCAGCCTGACTTCACCCCAGGCTTCATCATAAATCTTCCACAGCCCTAAAGCAGCCTGTATTGAAGTCTTCAATTCTGCAGCCTAAGAACACACAACAGCCAAGCTTAGAAGCAGATTTCCATTTTACGAAATAAATCATAAAAAGATTTAGCAGGAGCCTTGGAAACTGACTAAGGGAAACCCACTGTTCAAATCTAAGGAACACCTACAGTTCCAATTTTTTATTTTTAATGCTGTCTTTCTAATACACCACAGAGAAACATAACTCTACAGGTTTTAAAGAAAATTAATATATAACTGCATTGAAACACGCTTGAAACGAGGCATGAAACCAGGAGGAAAATGCAGCTTTGTGTATGAGTGTGAAATATCAGCATTACTTTCATCATCAACTTAATTCAAGGTCCTGCTGCGCTGGCAGAACTAATTCCAAGATGCCTGGTTAGAAGAAGACTTTACAGAAATAAATGCACTGCTTTTATTCTCTTGCTGATGACATCCCAGCAGGAAAACTCACAGATTCAGCTATTCTTGAAGGGCACTAAATTGCAAAAGTAACAGACGGTTGGCCTGAGAGTTACAGTTACACAAGAGCTTAAAATCTCATCAATGTGAATTGTTGGTGGCAAAGGATTCATTCCTCTCCAGCTCTACTGCATGTGTGAAGTCACCCAACGGAGCTCTTTTGAGGCTTATTACCACCCGGCTGCTAAAAAGAGGATGCAGACACTTGCTGTGAGAACTCTGCATGCCACTTGGCAGACATGATCACTTGAACCTGCTCTGACCCGGATGCTGCAGTTCAGTTGATACAGGTCCTGAGGATGGATATAGCCTAGGCCCCTCCCTGCTGGTCCAGTGACAACAAACCCCTTCCCATGTGTGCATCCTGGGCAGGTGGACAAGACTCTTGGAAATCCTAGAGAGCCACTATGTGTGTGTGCTGGATCCTTGCCACTTCTGGCTCATAAAAGTAGCTACAGAAAGACTGACCATGTGGGGCAGCAAAGTAGTAAAGGCAAGGTTCAAGCCTGCTTAAAGACCTTCCTGATGCACTCTATATCAGGTACTGTACTTACTACCTGGTCTCCAATACGCATTCTCAGGCAAGGTGCTTGAAGCATAGAATTGCCCTTCAGCATTAGGAGTCTGTGAACGAGACAGTTTCTAAACTTCTTTCAATCTAGCTTCATGCTCAGAGATGGCTTTATCTCCCATTAGACAGGGGAACTGTGTCCCAGATTTTTTGTTTGTTTGTTTAGTCGTTAAGTCGCGTCCGACTCTTCGTGACCCCATAGACCAGAGCACGCCAGGCCCTTCTGTCTTCCACTGCCTCCTGGAGTTGGGTCAAATTCATGTTGGGAGCTTTGATGACACTGTCCAACCATCTCGTCCTCTGTCGTCCCCTTTCTCCTCTTGCCTTCACACTTTCCCAACATCAGGGTCTTTTCCAGGGAGTCTTCTCTTATCATGAGATGGCCAAAGGATTGGAGCCTCAGCTTCAGGATCTGTCCTTCCAGGCACTCAGTGTCCCTGATAGATCAGGTTAAACTCAGGAGCTTTTGATACCATTAACCATGGTATCCCTCTAGGAAGCCTCATTGGAATGGGAACTGGAGGTCTTTCCTTGAGGAGCAAGCTGAAAATGTGGTGCTGGGGAGTTCTTGTTCAATGCCCTACCTTTGGACCGTAGGGTCTCTTAGGGCTCCCTCTTATCCCCCATGTTATTTAACATGTGAACGAATCCTGGCAGGGTGGGGAATTCACTTTGGATTTTGGGGAAGAAATAATCCATGGTTATGAATCCAAAGGTCTGAATCATGTGGCATGCTCATTAAAATAATAAATGGCTTCCCTTTTGCAACTTGAGGATCAAGCCATAGTTAGTGGCCTCATGGGGATATTGCAGCCACAGACATCATCAAAACCGTACAGCAGTACTCTAATTGGAAGGGCTAATTAAGTGATATTAAATGAATTTATAGATCACAATTCTGCCAGATTATAAAGCCAAGCATGGTGGAGAAGAAGGGGATAAAGGTATTTTCCTCACCCATAAATGTAGGAGTTAATTTTCACTACTTTTATCCCTGTGTGGTAACATTGGGCCAACCTGCAGAGTGTTCAAATACATTCTGCAGCCTGTTGCCCAAATTGTGACATTATTTTTCCTTAAAAATACATTCCCAATCCCAACATTACATTTTCTATTCATCATCAGTCTTGTGTGTTCAGATCTAACAGTACTATAACATAATTGAGAGTAGTATGAAAGCTGCAGAACCTGTTTTGTAAAAACTACATACACATCGAATCTTACACATCCAGGGTACATTTGGCCTCCAGATGTTGCTGGACTACAAGTCCCATCAGCCCCAGTCAGCACTGTCAAATGTGTAACCCAACAATATCTAAAGAATGGCATAACCCCCAACCTCGCTTTTGAGAGCTTTTTGGAAGTCTGAGGATGATACCTTAGAGAAACCAGTGGCCAAGGTAAATAACGCAAGTAGATTTTTCCCCTAAGTGGTTCAGTTGGACAGATTTTGTGGAAAGTAACATATATAGTGGTACCTCGACTTACGAACTTAATTCGTATTGGAACAGCGTTCGTATGTCGAAAAGTTCGTAAGTTGAGGCAAAATTTCCCATAGGAATGCATTGAAAACTGTTTAATCCATTCCTGATGTTTTTCGTTCTTATGTTGAGGCGCCATTCGCAAGTAGAGGCATTAGTTCCCATAGGAACTAACGCAAAGCCGGTTAATCCATACTCTACCACTAGGGGGAGAATGTTTTAATTTTTTTTCTTCTTTTGACCTTTTTGCGATAAAGGGTTTTTCCTAAGATGAACTTAGGTCAAAAAAAGTGCGGTAAAGGTTTTTTTGTTTGTTTGTAAGTCGAAGCTCCGTTCGCAAGTCGAAGCAACATCTTGGATTTTTTTTTTGTAAGTTGAAGCTCCGTTCGCAAGTCGAAGCAATATCTTGGGAACGGAGCCGTTTGTAACTCAAAATGTTCGTAAGAGGAGACGTTCGTAAGTTGAGGTACAACTGTACAGCTGCACTGTCCACAGATCATTATGCAACCAAAGACATGGGTATCCGTGTCCACCTGGTCATTACAGATCTATCATGTGACCCACAAGTTAAACGAGAAATGCCAGTATGTAGCCCTAGATTCAAATCATAGCTTGGAAAAAGTCCATTTACTAACGTATAGTGAGAAAGCTTCTTCACAACAAGTTATCTAAAAATAAAGGTAACAACCTGGTTAATTAGTTTGGTCCTCATTTCATACAAATCACTGATTTTCAATACGATTTCCTCAGAAGTCTCTGAGTGGCCGTCAGAAGCAGTGCAATTCTCTTTCAGCTGATCCATCTCCTTTGATTTGACAGCGAGCTGATTTTCTAGTACCTGGGCAAAGAGGAATCGGAGCAGAAAAGGAATGAAAATGGTTCTCTGTGTATCGTTCAAAGCATATTCATGTACAGCATGAGACCCAAAGTGACTTCTTAGAAATCAACGCTAGGCAATCTGTTCAACTGTAGAGAACAGAGGACTGTTGTTACTGTTGTTGTTTCAAGAAATATGGACAGAAGTTAAGGTCATGCAGAAAACAAAAATAGAGAAAGAAGTGTATTGGAGTATTATTAGGGACTATGGAGTAAATAAAGATAAGCACAGAAAGGGCAAAGAGGAGAACCTGAGTGTAATAATATAATAAATGTGATTATATACAACATACTGCACATACAGTAGGACAACCCCCCATATCTGCTGGGCATTAGTTCCAAGCCTGCCGTGGATACTGAAAAATATGAATAATAGTGAACATGTGTGTATGCGTGTGTGTGTGTGTGTGAGAGAGAGAGAGAGAGAGAGAGCATGGTAGAAGGCAAAAAAATTATTTTGGATGCATTACCAGAACTGGGCACCAGAGGGTACCAGAGACCAGCAAGTATTCATAGTGTCATTTCTATTTTATTTATTTATTTATCTGTTGCATTTATATGCCGCCCATCTAGACATGGTCTACTCTGGGCGGCTCACAACATACAAATAGACACAATTTAAAATATACACAATTTACATAGATAAAACAGAGAAATATAAAATCGAAGAACTTACAGTTCTAACAATTAATTTAAAAGTAAAGAGTCCCAAGATGGTACGAGTTAAAAGGAAAGAAATAAGAAATAAGCATCACTTAATTGACTGAAGGGAAGGCCTGCTTGAATAGCCAAGTTTTTAGTGGGCTTTTGAAAATGCCCAGCGAGGGTACCAGCCGAATTTCGGTAGGGAGGGTGTTCCACAGCCTTTAGTCTCCCTTTAGTGGCGAGTTCTGGTATTACATGTGAAAAAAGTATTTTCTGGATTTTTTTTCTTTTAATATTTTTAATATTTTCAGACCATTGATAAGTGAATCAGTAAATACTGATCCCCTAGATAAGGGAGTCCTACTGTATATGTAATCACATACACTAATATGTTCATAGAATCATAGAAAAGTGAAGTTAGAAGGGGCCTACAAGGCCATCAAGTCCAACCCCCTGCCCAATGCAGGAATTCAATCAAAGCATATCTGCCAGGCGATTATCCAAGTTTTTCTTGAACGCCTCCAGTGTTGGAGCACTCACCAACTCCCGAGGTAACTGGTTTCATATTCTCATTTACTGTTATAAATAGCAAACCAGATTATACCGCAATACCCAGGTCCTAAGCAATTCAGTTCAAAATAATATACTGCAGCGCTAACAATACCATGTTTGCAGTATGAAAACCCAGCAAAGGAATTATCACATCCAAATGCACAACTGAAGAGGTCTGGGTTGGTTAAGATTCTTCTGGGTCAGCCAAGATCTAAGACATGGCCAAATTAGGGCTCAGTTTGGAAACGTTACTCATTTGGACTATAGTCCCCCCAGAACACTCCAGCCAGTGCAATGGAAGATCCCTAGAACTCAACTAAAAAGGATTGGTTTTTCCGAGTTCTGGATTAGGAATCAGAAGGTTCAGGTTCAAAACTTCAGCCACTTGCTGGTGATCTTTCCCAGTGTCAATGGGAAATATATATTTTAAATCACAGGATTAAAATCTTAGGGATCCACTTACTGTCCTGATCAGGAGCAGCAGCATAAGTGATACAAATTAAGCACAAATTCTAAATCTGCTTAATCTGAATAATTGATGCAGGGCTTGGTTTTCCATGTTAATTGATGTTAAACATGGAATACATCTGATAACCATTTTACGTACTTTCTAGCAGTCTTATAGACGTCCGTGCAATTTTTAAAAAAGTCTTCTCTTGCCAATGTGTTCTTTCAAAAATAAAATCTTCAAAAAAATCTTCCTGGCTTTATTTAACTTTTCTCTCTCCCTCTTCCTCTCTCCCCTGGTGAGTGTACCTGCTCACTAAGAGAGTTTCAAGCTGTCCTTTATTTATTTGCATGGCTCCTTACTATTTTTTTTCGGAATGGATCCCTCTGTCTCTCAGCTAGAGCCTAATGGTGGGTAGTTGTGCTGTTTATTCTGTGCCATGTTTTACTCAAGCCCCCAAACACGGCATGAAATAAATAGCAAAACTACCCACTACTTTTTTATTTCTGCAACAGAAGATAGAAGGAGGTAACCATGGCAATAAAATAAAAACATATACTCCACTCCTGGGAGCAAGGAGGCAGCAAGATGATCTGTTCTGCTATTTTCCATTTGAGAATAAGGACAAAGCTAGCCAGGGTCCTTACTGCAAACCTAAGAGTCCTCTAAGCTGGAATTTGAAAGTAATATGAAAGTAATATTGGGGATGGGTGGATGGGAGCTTTGCTTTTGAGGGGATATGGTGAATTTTTAAGAATTAGAGTGATGCAGTGGCTATGGAGATGAGCTCTTTTTCACTTTATACTGAGAGTTAATCTGAGAGTTAAGGTAGGAGAAGGAAAACTCCGGCCATTGGACCATTTCAGCAATGTGGAGAGGGGGGATCTGCTGCTTGGGTAACAGCCTATCCTCCATATTACCTTACCCGGGCTTCATGCTCTGGAGAGGACACTCCTCGATTCAGAGCATGTTACCATAGTCTCTCGAGACTGTAGGATGCCTATGTATAAGGTAGGAGAGTGACTAGCCACAAGTCATCCAGAAAATATCATGGTTCACTGGGGACTTGAGTGCAGATCTCCCAAGACATCATCCAAAACTCTATCTGCTACACCACACTGATGCCATGATTCCTTGTGTAACTCCTTTGAAATATTGGTTCAGCTCAAAGGGATTGGGACTATGAAAGAGAAGGGCTGTGAGTAAGAGATGTGAATTGGAAAGAGCGGGAAATATGAAGAGGCTGGAGCTGTTGTTGCCACTTAGATTGCTAAGGCCCTTGCCAACTTGATCTAGGTATAATTCCTACATTATTGTGTTGAGGGATGAATCCATCTAGTGAATTCATGAATTGCATACAACTGAATTGAGATTTCATTTTAGGGATCTGAAGATTCCACATGTGGAGCGGGTTAGGCCCTTGCCAACTTGATCTAGGTATAATTCCTACATTATTGTGCTGAGGGATGAATCCAGTGGTGGGATTCAGCAGGTTCGCACCAGTTCTACAGAACCGGTAGCTAATGTATTATTGGTTCTGCAGACCCGTTTGTTGGCCTGCTGAATCCCACCACTGGCCAGGATCAGTGGTGGGATTCAGCAGGCCAACAAACGGGTCTGCAGAACCAATAATACATTAGCTACTGGTTCTGTAGAACTGGTGTGAACCTGCTGAATCCCACCACTGGATGAATCCATCTAGTGAATTCATGAATTGCATACAACTGAATTGAGATTTCATTTTAGGGATCTGAAGATTCCACATGTGGAGCGGGTTCTTCTATGTCAGTGGAGGCAAACCTTTTTTCGGCTTGAGTGCCCAAAAGGAGGGGGTGGGGAAGAAACCAGTGGCTGCCGTTTCGCCTGGAAGACCAGAACCAGAACAGGAAGTGGCAGTTTAAGGGGGAATCATGGGGACAGACAGGAAGGTAAAGGACCCAGAACAGGAAGAGAAAGGGGGAATCCCAGCTGCAGCCACTTCAAAAGGGCAGGTAGGTGGGCCCCTCACTTGTGTGCCAGAAGAAAGGGCTTCGCCATCACTGTTCTATGTATTGGAACCCAGCCCAGTTAAGGAAGATGTCTTGGATTTTTATCTGAATTTGAACTGGAAGGGACACTTGAACTTTGCAATTCTCAGGAAACAGCGGAAATGGACATTTTATCAGAAGTGATAAAGGACTGTCCTCTACATTTCTATTTGTTGTCTCTTATATAACTAGGAATGAGAAAAGGTTCATCCACAGATATCTACTGTCACCCTTTGTTAAAAATAAAATAATAATGATAATAATAAACCTTTGCAATTCTACAAGCAATGTCAGTATGGGTGCTGTTGCCGAAGACCTGGTGCACAAATTGAGCATTTTGTTGTTGTTATCGTTTCTATTTGTTGTAAGAAAAGGTTCATCCATAGATATCTATGTAAGCAAATAGACCCATAGAACTTTAAAGTATTACACATGCATTTTTTTTTTCACCTGCCTCCTTCCTTTTGTATCTCACCTGTTGGATTACAATCTCAAGCATGGCTGAAATTTTGTACCATGCCTTTTAAAAAGGGAGAATGGTGAGGCTGATGACCAGCAGCAATACCAACGCACTGCCCTGAGCTTCACGGAAGAGAAGGAAGTCTTCAAAATATATAATTTGCAATATATAAATGAACAAAATGAGTAAAACAAAGTACTCTATACAAGTGCTGTAATTCTGTATCATCAAGTAGCCTGTGGTTTATGGAAACCTAAGCAGGGTTTTATTTTCTCCAGCTGTGTGAGATGTTCAAGAAATGGTTTTGCACTGTTGCCCCCTAATGAGTTCTCATAGCTGAGCAAGGATTTGAACCCAGGGCTCTTCAGTCCTGGTCCAGCACTCTACCCATTCCACCACACTGGCTCTCCATACAATTATCTGCTTACAGGTTAATCAACAAATTCCTCTGAAATGAAAATAAAAATATAGTCAAACCAGGACCACTTACCTTGCAGTCTCCTGCTGCGTCCTGTGTTGGGACGGAACTCGTGGGGTTCCTGGCTCTTTGCGCTAGCCTCTCACTTTCTGCTTCTAGCCACCAGCCCAAGGCCTGAGCTTTGCTTTCCTTCTCGGCCACAGACTCCAAAATGTTCTCCAACTCCTTGATCTGTGGCATGGAAATTGAATTGGGATTGGGATTACACAGGGGGGAAAAAAGACTTTGCAAAAACTCTTCCTTTGGAGGAAAAATCAGGAGAGAAGCACATGCCCCCTTCTAGGACTCCCGCTACACTATCCAAATATTCTACAACACACACGGGGAGCTACGTACCTCTTTTTTTTTTTTACCTTATTAATATGGCAGAGAACGAGGTAACAAATAGAAGACAGTTAATACTAAGAGCCCATGGTTCTCAAGTCAAGACCCCACTGTAGAAGACAATTAATACTAAGAGCCCATGCAGAGAACAACTCAACACTTCCTGCTTGGGACACAAGGAATGGAAGCCGGAAAGGAGAAAGCTGGCAGATCAACATCCTGTTGACCACAGTTTTATCGTCCTAATCCCACTGGCGCTTGCCAGTTGAATCACACACCAACCTCCTGAGCTGGATAAGAGGCCTTTCTTCTCAAGCCCTGCCCTGAAAACAGCCTGAAGGAAATTTCCCAAGGCAATCCTTGACCCAACTGGGTGGGGTTTCCCCTCCTGGTGTTTGCAAAGCTGCATGTCAACTCAACGGGGTGCCTGTAGGCAATGGTTGGCAGACCTTCTCTCCACCCTCCCTCCCTTACGTGGGATACGGAGAGGAGAAGCAATTCTAGGCCTCCAAGTTGAAGCACCTGGTCAAAAAGGTCCACCTTGTGTTTCAGCGGGAAACCGTAATGTGGGAAGCTCCTGCCCAAGGCTGTTATCTGTTTTCAGTGATGAGCAAACTTTCCAGGCAGAGAAGCAGCAGCTGCCAGCAGGCCGGGTGACCTACTCATTCTTCCTTTTCCCTTAGAGTTAGGACATAGGTTCAAAGGCTTTCTCAGCCAATCCTAAGTGGTGATTAGGTAACTAGTGTCCTGTCTGAATTCTTTCAACATTCTGTGTAATCATGCTATGTTAATAAAAAGAGTTCTCAGGGCATCACCTTGCTCAGACATCCTTTGTTGACACTTCTTTGCAACTACTCTAAAGGCTAATTGCTTTCCTAATTGTCTGTGATCACCCATATCATTAGCCTTTCTTTGTTCCGTGATCACCTACACCCAGAGATATAGTGGAAGCCATGCCCTCTGACATCCAACCCACTGAGGTCAGTGGTGGGTGAAACCCTTCACTTGATTGCATTTCCACACCAGTAGGATGTATGATCTTGGTGGGGCAAGCACAAACCAAGCATGATGTACAGTTCTTGGAGATTATGGGATGTAGGGTCTAGATGACCACCTGCTGCCCAACTCCTTCAAAACTATTGCCTCACAGAACCTGCATCTGCTTTTTTAAACCTACTGTAAATTCTAGGCCACCTGCTGCCCAACTCCTTCAAAACTAGTGCCTCACAAAACCTGCATCTGCTTTTTTAAACCTAATTTCTAGGTCTCATAAAGGTAAAGATTCCCCTTGACATTTTTAGTCCAGTTGTGTCCGACTCTAGGGGGTGGTGCTCATCCGGTTTTCAAGCTGTAGAGCCAGCATTTGTCCAAAGACAGCTGCCATTGGCCAGTGTGACTAGGCCGACAGGATGAATAGAATATGTGAAATCTGCGTACCCCTTTTAGACAATCGAGTGCCCTGCATTTTCTGATTAAGAGCAAAAAACAAAGATTTATACTTTGGATCACGTGGGTTCGATCTTACGACTGCAAGTCTTCTGACCCTGCAGCACAGAGGCTTCTGCGGTTTAGCCTGCAGCGTCCCCATGTCTCTACATGGTTCCCTTAAAAGGTCTCATGGTTCCCTTCAAAGACATGCTAAGAGTCCCAGAACTGATGGAGGGTCACTGGCCCCCACGGACCTTCTCATGATGCTCAGCATGGACTCAGGGAGGAATGCAGGTTGCTGCAGCAGGAGAAAAAAGTTAGCAAGAACCCTCCCCTCCCTTCAATGTAAGTCAAGGGTGGATCCAAGTTGTCCTTGGCACCAAGAACTGCAAAAGAAGACCCAACCTTTCCGTTGAGAAACGCCTGCAACTTGTGCCACTTCAAATTCATTTCCCCAAGACGCTCTGCGAACGCTGTCCTCTCGTAACGCTTGCTTTCTACATTGGACGTCGTCACCTGTAGCAGGGATTGGTTGACGAAATCAACTGTCCATTGTTTGAAGTTCATTTCCATCAAGTATTCCTGGAAAGAGGAATGTTTAAAATATTCTTTTAAAATAGAAGAGAACGAGTTTTCTCCCACGCAGAAGTCACCATTTATAGGTTTCACTGTTTCCTTGGCATTCATTAAGGCACTGGGAACATAGGAACCTGCCTCAAACAGAGTCAGTCTCTTGTCCATCTAGCTTAGCATAGAATCATAGAAAAATAAAGTTGGAGGTCTCCAAGGCCATCAAGTCCAACCCCCTGCTCAGTGCAGGAAGATCCGGGTTTTTCTTGAATGCCTCCAGGGTTGGAGCATTCACCAACTCCCAAGGTAACTGGTTCCATTGTTGTACTGCTCTAACAGTTAGGAAGTTTTTGGAAGTAGCATGGTTGATGCTAACTAGTATCGGTCATCCAGAGTTTCAAAGAGGGTTCTTTCCAATCCTGCCAGGAGATAGTCTGCAAGACCTAAGCAGGGTTAACAAGAAGGCCTTTCAGAAGTCTTAATTCATAAGAGAGTTGGCTGGATAGTTCAGTGGTTTGGGTATCTGAATGCAGAGTTCAGAGGTCAGGAGTTCAAATTCCCTACTATGGCTCTTGGGAGAAGAGCCAGCCTGTGTGGCCTTGGGCAAGCTGCACACAGTCCCAGGGTTCCCCCTAGAGGAAGGGGATGGTAAACCACTCCTGACTATTCTTTACCTAGAAAAGTCTGAAAAGGGTTGCCACAAGTCAGAATTGCCTTGAGGGCACATGATTGATTATCACATAAGGGGAGAGCAAGGGAATGCCATCACAAACTGACTAAGGACTAATATATACCTATTTGTGAACCAGGGCACTGTTTCTCCCAGAAATTTAGAGATGGGACACATTTCCTAGTTTTTGAACAACAACACCCAGAATCCCACATCCAGTCTGGCAAGAGGCTATGCTAGTTATAGAAGGCTGGGAGGTGTGGTCCAAAAAAAGGATAGCATAAGCTATTTCTGACAATAACTTTCTCCTGGTGCTCCACGCCATGATAGTTTTGTCCTGTGGATACTCCACTGTGAGTCTCCATTTAGATTCCTGTTATCTGACCAAATTTCGGGAGGCCGTGGAAGACAGGAGGGCCTGGCGTGCTCTGGTCCATGGGGTCACAAAGAGTCAGACACGACTTAACGACTAAACAACAACTGTTATCTGCCAAAGAAGCGTGAATCAGTTTCTAGAAGTCTCATTCTTCTGGTGTCCTACTCACCTTGTACTTCATAAGAAGTCTTTTCACTTGGCATGTGGGAGTCTGGAAACTAACAGCAGCTTCAGTTTCACTT